TTTGCACAGGTGCAGGGACCTTTACCAAAACGACCCAGAAATTTTTCAGAACGATCGCCTTTGGGTAAAAGGGTCAAAACAGGCTTTCAGTGGCCCGAATCGGTTATTGGTCAATCGAGCTGTCAGTCAAGGCGTGTTTGAAGCCTCGCCCATTCGGCGATGGTCGATGAAAGTATATACTGTGAGGGAGAGGAAACGAGCATTTCTCAGACAACTGCCGGGCCGATCGGACCGAAACTTTGCACGGGTGCAGGGACCTTTACCAAAACGACCCAGAAAATTTTTCAGATCGATAGCGTTTGTGGAAAGGCGTCAAAACGGGCTTTTAGTGGCCCGAATCGGTTATTGGTCAATCGAGCTGTCAGTCAAGACGTGTTTAAAGCCTCGCCCATTCGGCGATGGTCGATGAAAGTATATATTGTGAGGGAGAGGAAACGAGCATTTCCCAGACAACTACCCGGCCGATCAGGCTGAAACTTTGCACGGGTGCAGGGACCTTTACCAAAACGACCCAGAAAATTTTTCAAATCGATCGGATCGTAGAAAGGGGGTAAAAACGGGGGTTTTGTGGGACGGAGAGAGGTTGGAAGTTAATCAGGCCGTCAATCAAGTCACATACCACAAATGGTGGGATAAAAGTATATTGCTATTATATAAACGAAAAAGAAATATACTGTTAGTGAAGAGGTCGGAGGTGGGTACCTCTGAAGAGCGTCAACCGAGATGATGAAGGAGGCAGGCTGTCAGGCAACGGTGATCACTTCGTTCATAATATTTTTTATTTCGTGAAATTTTGCTCGTCGAGCGTTAGTGGTACAATTCTGAAGTATACTGTGAGTCTGGCGTAGAACGAGCATTTCCCAAACAACTGACGGGCCGATAAGGCCGAAAATTTGCACAAGTGCGGAGGATGTTACCAAAACGACCCAGAAAATTTTTAAGAGCGATCGTATCGCAGGAAGGGGGTCATAACTGGGGTTTTGTGGGACTGAGAGGGTTGCAAGGTAATCAAGCCGTAAATCAATTCACACACCACAAACGTTAGGTTAGAATAAATCGCTAGTATATAAACCAAAAGAAACAATGTTGTTATTGAGCAACTCGGAAGTGGGTACCTCCAAATTATGTGAGTTGGCGCACAAGGACGGGGGGCCCTACGCCGGACGAATCTCCGCCATTCGTCCGGCGTGACGACGTGCCGCTCGAAATAACCACCCCGACAGCACTACTTCGTTAACAACAATTTCAAACAGACATCCCCTTTTCCCTCGCGGGTAGCGCAGCGACCTCTTCTGGATGGTTAGGCAAGGAAAAGCACTATAGTGCGTCATGCACAGTATAGATCAGAATTCGTTGCACGAAAGACTAGTCCAGAGTATGTTAGGGCAGACCCTACGAGTTACCATTTCCCAGAAAACTGGCGGGCCGATCGGGTTGAAACTTTGCATGTAGCGGGGGACACTTACCAAACGAACACAGAAAATTTTTCAGAACGATCGGGCCATAGGAAGTGGGCCAAAACGGTAATTTAGTGGCCCGGAGCTGCTGATTGGTCAATCGGCTGTCCATCAAGTCACGCAAGAGTGGGTTTGGGGTTTAGAGGCCGTTTAGCTCCGTTTCCGGGCCAGAAAGCGTTTGCCCGAGTATTAGGAATTTATCCAAGTATAATTGGGGGTGGGGGCACCGCCACCGCCCCCTCAATGGTGAGAAAACGTGTGGAAAGCCACGCCCACTTAGGTAATATGGTTTTTGGGCGAATAGGAGCACTTGAATCGGTTTTCGGGCAAAGCGATGCATAAATATCGAAGGGACTAATTAATAGAATATATCACCACCCGAACTTTGGGGATTCCCCGTCCCCGTAACGGTCCAGTGAGTTCGGAATGTTGCGCTTAAGAATTGAGATATTGAGAAAAAAAAATACATAGGTAGGTTGAGAAAGTTTAGTTTAATACTTTTTTCAAGAAATTTTTTTGCTCCCGTGCCTCCGTCACGGTCTAGTGATTTTGGCCTTTTGCCGGCTTCAGAGAGGTCTTATCAAGAATCTAAAGGCATGGGCATGATCAGAAAAATCATTCCAATCACGTATCAGCAAAAAAAATTTTCTAGTAGCCTTCAGTAACGGTCCAGTGATTTTCTGCCATATCTCGAGAACGGTAATAGACAGGGGTCTCATATTTGGGTCATACAAGGTAGTTGGAGTAAAGTTTATGCCTATAAAATTTCGTCACGGTCGAGTGATCACGGACCTCAAAATTGATAAAAATCGACATCCATCAAGAGTGATCAGTTTATGACGTGTTATTTAACCTACTGAATGAACTAAAGTGGCTGGGGGCTACGCGCCGGACGAATTTCCGCCATTCGTCCGGCGCAACGACCCTGGTGCATCCAACAAACTCATAATGAAACATACGCTCGTTTATACTAAAATATCTCCCTTACATTTCCCCTCGCGGGTAGCGCAGCGACCGTCCCTGGATGGTAAGGCAAACTTGTAGCACTGAAAGTGCGTATGCACAGTAATGGTCAGGGAACTTTGCACGTAGGGCAAAAATAATGTGACGAAGTCTCTTGGCTGAGACCCATCGAGTTACCATTTCCCAGGAAACTGGCGGGCCGATCGGGACGAAACTTGGCATGTAGTAGGGTGCAGTTACCAAACTAACAAATAAAATTTTTCAGAAAGATCGGGCCAAAGGAAGTGGGCCAAAACGGGCTTTTGGTGGCCCAAATTTAAGGTTGCGTGACATTAATTATTTCAGGCTGTCAATCAAGTAACGCAAGAGTGAGTTTGGGGTTCAGAAGCCGTTTAGCTGCGTTTCCGGGGCCAAAAAGCGTTTGCCCGAGTATTGGGATTTTTTTCAAGTGTAATTGGGGGTGGGGGCACTGCCACCGCCCCCCCAGTGGTGAGAAAACGTGTGGAAAGCCACGCCCACTTAGGTAATATCGTTTTTGGGCTATTAGGAGCACTTGGAATTGGTTTTTGGGCAAAGTGATGCTTATATCTCAAAGGGACTAATATATAGGATATTTTACCACCTGAATCTTGGGACTTCTCCCTCCCGATCGCCCTCCAGTGGCGTAAGAAGGGTGCGCACCTAAAAATGAAGCTATCGAGAAATAAAATAGACAGGTATGTTGGGAAAAATTTAGTTTAACGCTTTTTTCAAGAATTTTTTTTTCTCCTACTCCCCAGTCACGCTTTAGTGATTTTGGCTTATTGCAGGCTTCTGAAGGGACTTATTAAGAAAGTAAAGGCATGGGCATGTTTAGAAAAATTATTTGAAGCCATTTTAGAAGAAATTTTTTTTTCTCTAGTACCTCAGTCACGCTCCAGTGATTTTACGTTATATCTCGAGAATGGTAAAAGGTAGAGATGTCATATTTGGGTCATACAAGGTAGTTGAGGTCTAGTTTGTGTCAAAAAAATTTCGTCACGGTTGAGTGAACACGGACCTTAAAATTGGAAAAATTCGACTCCGGTTAGGGGTGATCAGTTTATTACAGGGTATTTGTACTTCTCAATGGACTAGAGGTGTCGGGGGCAGAGCGCCGGACGAATTCCCGTCATTCGTCCGGCGCAACGACCCGGGTCCTTCAACAAACTGCAAACAAACATCTGCTTCTTAATTTACTAAAAATATTTCTATACATTTCCCCTCGCGGGTAGCGCAGCGACCTCCCCTGGATTCTTTGTCTTCCATAATTGATAACCCTGAAAATGTTATGATTGATAGAATTTAGCATAAAATTAACAACAGAGGAAATCCGATAAGACGGCTCAATCATATTGCGAACCACGGTCTCTCGTCCGGACCTTGAAAAATTTAATTAAACAGCCCGCGTATCGTTACCGGTACCCTGATACAGGTACTGGTTAGTTGCCGTGGCGGTTCAGGATACCCTATGGTATTCAAGAATTGATGGTAAAATATTTCGTTATGGATTTAGTGTCCATATATTTGAGAATAGCTCTTTTGTTATTTATATATATATTAGACCTTTCCCCGACCTTTGACCCGCAAATAATTCTTCCTATACTTTACCATTGCAAAATTTTCGGGGCTATTTCAAGAGTGCTTTTGAGAGTTGGTGCCTGTTAAATGGGGTATGGGTTTCAAACCATCATTATGATTCATCGCATACAACAATCTGTTTTTTAAAAGAACCGGCAAAGAATTTTAGCCTAGTCTATCACAGCTATTTCTACACTAATTTTTTGTTACTGCAATTAAATTGAAACGTCTAGGAAGACAGAGTGATCATTGAATTATCTGATTTATATTTAAGTTTCCGAAACAAAACAGATAAAAATTAACGAATAGAGTTCAAAAACGCGAAAACGAGGTAATGTTTACGACCACGCTTAAAAATCTGTTTGAGTGAGAAAAGTGTCTGAGCGGATGCGAAAAGGGAGCATTGGTACGTCACGTTTTGCATCTTGCTATTTGGCCAATGACACGAAGTAAACAGGAAGTCGATGCTCGGGGAAAAGTCCATAGTTCTGAATTTTTAAAGTTTTTATTTTTAAAGTTAACAAAGTCGATATGCAATTTTTTTGTTGTACATGTAGTTGTATTTAGTGGACGTTAATCTGAATTATTATTTTTTATTGAGTTGTACTCCAACGCAATCCCATGGGATATGACAGGCATAAATTGCTATGGGATGGAACAGGAAAAAATGGGTCTTATGAATAAGCCTGGAGATGCCCCCGGTAGCTCCAACTGCTGGTCTAGTGATTCCCGTTCATATGAATTCGACCTTGAATTACTCTGGGCGTTGGCTTGGGGAAAACAAAACTGCTTACTTTGGACAAGTTCTAGGATACACATCGCTCAGTGGGAAATATCATTTGAGGCTTGTTTTACTCATAGACTGGTGAAAAATTGCTTATTGTGCCAAAACGAAACACACGTCAAGCACGATAAAAATTAAAAAAATGTTTTCTGATTCAGAAATATTCGATAGTGAAAATTATGAACAAATCGACTTACTTGATATGCTAATCTTATTCCTCCATTATCTGCAATGTTCTCGCCAATTGTGAGATTACCATTAACCTGTGGAATTAAAAGGTATGCGTTCTCACTAAATTTTTGTGTTAAATGTTTATGGCAAGAAGAAGTAATCATTGTAATTTTATTGAAGTTGTTTTTCGATTAAATTGATTTCGTCTATTCAGTATTTTTGAATTTAGTTTTGCGCTTGTTTGAATACATGGCTATCGTAACAGTTTGAAGTTCAAGTGCGCGAGCTTACAAGTTTTATCTCATTCAAATGTTTCGAAAACAAACGAAAAAAATTGTCATTTCAAACGTAAATTTCTCTAATAAACTGTCAACAATATAGCCCTAACCATATTGTAAATCCGGCCCGGGGTCAAATTAAAAGTAGTTTTGTGAATAGTGAGGATTAATGATTTTCAGGAATAAGCAAAGAAAGAAATTTAATAAAATAGTCGCGAGTACTTACAAACATTTCTGCTGGTTTATAGTAAAAATTCGCGTATTGCTTTCTGAAACAGGATGCTCTTTGTTCAAAATTTTTTCTGGAAGAATTTGTCCACCAATTTTCAAGATTACCCAATCCGTTGTATCTTGAACCAGCTGTATCAAATCCATGCGTTAACTGAAATAACGTTGAACAATAATTGTAAAAGTAGTGAAAATGAACCAAACGGCTTTCAATAATATGCCGATACATGAAATATACATGGCTAATAACGTTTTCAAAGTTTACCTCATGTCCCATTGCATCACCAACACCTGCAAAATTCATTGCGAATGGCTGTCCAGGATCAAAAAACGGGATTTGCAAAATGGCTGCAGGAAAAGTCATCCGGTTGAAGTTTCTATTGTAAAAAGCAGTCACTTGGCCTGGACCAATTTCCCATCTAAAACATTCAGATTATTTACTGTTCAATTATAGTTTTATTGTTGTATGACAATGGCAAAAAGCATTTAACCGGAAACTATTATTTAGTATTAATAATCAGCCAATACAAGAAAGAGATTGGAACAGTGAAATCGTACATAATATTGTTTGATATCTGAAAAATCAAACAGTTTCGCATTATTTTCTATATTCGGTTATATGAACTTTGTCATAAGCACACTTAGTTCCATCTGTAACGCATTATTCCTTTAATTATACTTTATGAATAAACAATAATTGTAGGCTTTATTGTAATGTTTTGGTACTTTTACATTTGGCTGTGCTTTAATTACAACTATATAAATGATTTGAATTGCTTAATTAATAAGAAAAATTGCTGATAAAACTAATTTAAAAATCTCATTTTTTAATCAACTACTTTTGTCTATCCACGTGTTGATTCAATTTCATCAAAGATTGATCCAACTCAAAATTATACAAATTTTGCTCTGATTCAAAATATTTTTTATCTGTTACAAATAGATCCTTGTATTCGTCGTCTAGTCTAGGATTTTCTTCGTCAACAATGTATTCAGGGTAACCAATTAGTTTGGCAACTTGATCGACTTTCCCCTATACATGGTATTAAATGAAAATAAATGAAATTTAAAGTAAACACCAAAAATTTTTGAACTAAAGAATCAAGAATAACTTTTTACCCCAAATCAAATGGTATATTAAAACCAGACGTTCACATTTTCAAACATTGAACGAAAAAACGGACGAAAGTTTTGCAATTTAAATGAGATTAGTGTGTATATTCATTCATTTACACGAGTTATACATAATAGCGTAACAATTGTATCGATTACATATTTACAGAGATTTGCAATCTTTATCGAATATTGAAGGCAGCTAAATTGAAATATACACATAAGGTGCTATTTTTTTCGAGCTGGCTCGAGGGTAAATTTATTTAAAGCATGTGATGACATTTAATATTTTCCTTAAAACTAACTTATCGTTAAAAACACAGCTTTACTGCGGTCCATAAAAAATCGATGCCCTTCAGATGTTGATAACAAAATTAAAAAAAGGGAATAGAACAACATTTACTGAGCATGGGATTTCGTGCTCTAAATTCATACAGATCTCAAAATGGTAAAAAATACGATCTTGCAAATATTTACAGAATGAACGTTTCTAATTTCAAATTCTTTACGTAGCAGCAAAGTATTCCCTGAGATGTTATCTTCAACTTAAAGTCTAAACTTACCAATGCAAACTTTTTGGTACTTTCGCCCATCCATGTATTTCTGGATATATCGTCTTTAAACGCATCGATAACATTTTCTGTCATTTCAACTACCTAAAAGTAAAGTTAATGTGATACTAGGTAACTATAAGGTATCTTGTGAGAGCAATGCTACAATAAACGCAAAATAAATCAATGGATCAATCATATTTAATTTGATGTAAAAGATAAATTGAATGAAAGCGCAATCTTTTCATCCTTCAAATTATCTTAAATTTTATTCAAATATTATCGTCAAGCTGAAAACAATTGAACATTTATTCTTACTGTATTTTTGTTTTTCTCAGGAAATAAGGCTTTGACGTAGATTGCCCCAACCGGTAGTCGTAATAACATGTTTGCAGATGATATGCAATCTTGCCATTTTGGCTTCTCTTCTGCTGTCCCTAGAATAGCTTTGCTGGAAAAAAAATCAAGTTGAAATATTTGCCAATTAAATAAACTTTGAGCCATCCAAATATTTTTAAATTTATTCAAAAAAAAAAAAAATGTGAAACAAATTCTATTAAAATAACTATTAATGCATTGTTATAAGAGACATTTTTTACAATCAGCTAATTAAAAAGATTCGTACATTGACTAAATGATTATTCTCAGTAAATTAAAATTTCTCCGATAGAATCTATCAAACTTTTCTAAATGTCCTAATGAAAAATAAATATCCTATTTTATAAACTATTATATTATTCCCATTTTTTATGAACCAACTTGAAAGGCGCTCTGGTATCCCTGAACTTCTTCGATAGAAGATGATTGTGTCTCATGAGATTGTATATTATTACATAATTCTGAAGAACCCTGATTTAGAAAATAAAAAATAAAATATTTACCTTCCACCATTGTTTACTCCTTATTTCAGATTTTATTTGATACCATAACACCCACACGTTTCAATATAAATAGAACATATTTCTCACCAAAGCTCGGAAGCAGTATCATCATAAGAAGGTTCTTAAGTTGTGTTCATAGAATATTTTTGCGTATAATAATAATTAAAGAATAATGTGCTAAGCTGGTATCAAAATATACCAATATTTGCTTTGACAATTAAATACGTTACAAATTACGATATATCATGAATTTTTCCTTCATTTTAATTAACAATATACACGAGATCTAATGATCTAGGAAAGTAATTCAATAATAAACCTTTACCTTTTGTTGTACTTCTTCAAAACCGACATAAGTTTGGTTAAATAAGGAGTTCCATAAAGAACAACTTCAGTTTTAGGATTGACTTTGATGTCAACTCGTTTCATAATTTGATTAGTAAATTTTAACCAATCAAAATCTGCCGATATTTTATTTGGCATTTCTAAAATAAATCAAATATATACAGAAATTTATTCATATTTAGTGCTTCTATCAATTGCACAACAATTTAGGTGAGGTAAAAAGAAAGAAGCAAAGAAAAAAGAAAGGAATATGAATCCTTCAAAATATCTTTCGGAAAGGACTCAAACTTGATAAGATTTAATAGAAGGGGTTACTATTAATAAATTTCGTTGAAATGCTAAATAGCATAATGTAAGTTTAGGTTAATATGATTCAACTAATATAGCATGCTTTTCCGAATATCGAAATTTAAAATTGACGTACCTCATGATTTGTATAATTTTTTAAAGGTATTGCGCCATTTTGCCCTAAAATAAATTTTGTCCGTGAGCCTTCTAAATTACAATAAATTTTTTCATCGACTTATTGATGAAGCCAGTATACACATTTTTCAACGATCTATCATATAAAAAGTGCAAAGACTAAAAAGAAATTGAAGATAAAAGAATAATAATAAAGTATACATGTTCAAAGATGTATTTACCTGCGAGTTTCATCTTATTATAGATGTTCAGGATATCGATACGAGCGCTCATGGGTTCAACTATCTTTGCCAAGTCTGTTTCAAGTTGAATAATCTAAATAGTTGTAAAAATCTTCATATATATATATTGTGAATTTTCTAATCGGTGTTATTTAAAAGAATATCTTGATCATTCAATACTTTAATACTAAAGATTATGAAATCTTTTTATTTTTTCTAAGTCTCTGCACCACGTGTTCGAATTCATACTGAAATATCAATGAGAGTATGAAAACACAACAGTTTTAAAATGCCAAGTTAAACTTGGGCTTGTTTAAATCACATCATCCATTCAGCGAGTCGCAATGGGTTAAGTGCAGATATTGAATTTGAGTGACAAAACATAAATGAAAACTTATTAAAAAACTTTTACTGTAGGAAAAATTAGTAACTACAAACAAGCGCTTTTACATATATATGTCAGATTAGATGCATTACTAAATCGTGAAACAATTGTCAAGTATTTTATTGTCAGCTTACTTCGTCCAATCCTCTTTCTAGATCAGTTTCATTATATGTACCGGATTCATTCACCTGAATAAATACGACAAAGGTATATTTCTCACAATGCAAACGATATCATGAGTAAACTATTCTTGTACTCACTGTACAAACCAGATTATTGAGACATATTAAAAATATAAAATAATAAGCAGAGTTAGTGATAGTTTTACCTTATTTGCACTCTTCCATAATTCTGCTAGATAGTCCCGCATATAAGTTTTATATCCAAGTAAAGTAGCATTGGATTTCGAGTCGACGTACGATTCCGGATTTGTTATTCCCAGAAGAGGTTGATCAAGCTAATGAAGGACGAAAAATTTCAACTGAAGCATATAAATGAAATGCCAAAAAAAAGCGGGTAAATCGAATTCTTCAAATCTATACTTTAGACCGGAGTATGAATATCAACCATTATGATTTATTTTACATGTATGTCTTATTATTTCACTGAAATTATCGAGGTACTTATGACAGTTAACCCCTAAATACCGTGAATATTGAAAATAAGCCATGTTTCATGTTTTGTCCGTACAATTATATATCTCTTTTAACTTCAGTCGCTGGTGGAAGCGACGAAAAAAACTTGCTTTGCAACGTTAAAATATTCTTGTAAAAACTCGCAGTAAACCATTGATTTCTACTCTACGAACATCACTAGCCATTTAATTTTTCATTGCTAATTTACGACTTGTAGAAAAGACAATATTTAATTTGATATCAATAGCCCCAACGTACCGTGATAATATATGAACTTGAGTTTCGATCGTCGGTTTTAACGTCCATGTTAATTAACGGTGATGAAATACCATAGAAAAAGTAATATATTCTGTTTTTTGCTCTGGCAAGCAGCATTTCCAAGCTGAAAGATTCTTCATCGAATGCATCCCCAAACAAAGGCAAACCTCCGTAATTTTTAATCAAATTCAAAGCTGGCTGAGCATCTAACTTTTCAACAATATCTGTTTTACAAAAATAATTAAGTTCCAAAATAAAAAATTTTCCACATTCTTATTTCTCCATTTTTATTACCTTGATCCACACACGCTTTGTAAAAAGTTTTTGCCTTCTTAATTGCATCTCTATCGTTCGATGAATCAGAATTTAAAAGCTCTGCAAAAAGAGTTTCACAATTTTCACATTGCTCAAATATTAGGTGATGTGTATCTAATTTTGTGAATTTGGTAGACCACATTAATATCCTACTCAATGATGCAGATTCAATGGACTGCTGCCCAATGTAATCTCTTTATATCGTTAAAACAAACAACTCACCTCGAAGGTGCTTTTGGGTTCTTCCGGCTGTAAAGCTGAACTGATTAATTGTTGGCTTGTCCTCCGGAATAGGATTATTTTTCAGCCATCCAGCGCATGAATACTGATAGAATTTGTTGCAAGGATCATAAGTCGTGTCCAACGAATTCAAAACTCTTGAAGCTAAAATATATATTCAATCTTTCTAATTTTTGGCAGATTAAGGGATTGCGTTGCACATTGCACCAGCAAAACAAACAACATGATAGAAGTTATAGGAAATTGGAAAGGTACAAACATAATGTTAGAATGATAATCTCATGCTGGCATATAGTATTTGTTGATCCACTGGTATTTCATATTCAGGTATGCAATAGAAATTTGTTCATTTGGTGCCTGATATTCATTTATATAAATTGAAACAATCATATTCCATGAGTAACAGTAATCTCCCTCCCCTTTTCTAGTTGGCTATAAAATTTCTGTAGTGTTATCCGAAAACAAAAACAAACCTACCTGCATTTATACATGCCTTTGTTTTACACAGCGCTAAAATATAAGTAAGGTAAATTATTATTTCACATTTGACATAAATTTGCGTTTCAATAATGCAATTAGTCAGTGTATTAAACTTGCTTATTGAATGAAAATCACATTAATTTGATAAGTTAAGTAAGAGAAAATACCAAAATATGTATCGAGATCCCAGTACAATGATAAAAGGATGATGGTAGGGGCAAGTGATTGTTCGGATTAAATTTTGGATGTGATTTAAAATTCCGCGAAATAAAACCTCCATCTTGTTTTAGATGATGCAATAAAAATGAAGAAATATAGAGTTTAAAGCTATATAACAATGCACTTTGATTTGCTTGGTATTATACATTGTGTTTTGGTCACTATTACTAGTATTACATAATACATCGTTCTACCTACCCCCGTTTTCGTTCCCCATTGACATGAAGTACGCCAGAATAGTCGTGAGAACAAGGGCGACAACCGTAGCAGACACCACTGAAGTTTTACCGTTTCCCATTGTTGTGTTTAGCTATATCTATAGAATAGTAAAACATGTAAGAAATAGTTAATGATATAATTATATTTGATCGATTCGATCGTGTAGTATACGTTTATACTTTTGAAAATTGTTATCAAGACATCGTTTTTTTATCAGGCTAAATAAATAAATACCTTTGTAGGTTTTCTAATAACAATGTTATTTCTAATAACTTTAAAATTTTTATGAACACAACGCGTCATATCATATATGCTTTTCGGTTTTGAATGTAATTGAACAACACATTTTAAATTTTGAGCAACTTTCTTTTGCGCATCAACAAGGGCACGTAACTGTCTAAGCAACTGCTCGTATTTGTAGTACTATAAAGTTTTATAAACCATCTTGTTATACGTCATGTAATAGTGTAAAATTTGTTGCACGATATGTAGACTCGATTTGGTGAAATGAAATAAAACTTTTATTCCAAAAAATAGCAGCGTTTCCGTTTTCCAAATGTAATATTTTTATTCAGAGCTACAATAAAATGTCCGATATGAAGTTGGATGCAATTATGTCAGCAATACAAACATGTGAATAGTAGATATATATATGAAAATACTGCAATATCTTTCATTTACCAATAAAAACATGTAAAAAAGTTTAAACGAGCACTTGAGCAAGTGGCCAATCACCAGTAATTATTAATGTAATGTATGGTAAGTAATGGTATTCAGTAAAATGTTGTGAGCTCGATATTCATATCTGGAAAATCCAATTTTTCATCTCATCGTCTCTCTAGAAATATATAGTCTAAAAAGTCGACCCTGTATCTAATTATGCTTTGAAAATAAAATAAAAATTTTAATCTGAATTCAAATATATCTAAAATTATATGAATTTGATATATTTCTTAGTTTAGGATATTTATGTATCCTCAAATTTTTAATTTGAATAAGTTACATATGCGCTGATAGTGTTGTTTCAATTTCCTAACACACTTGTATAACGAGATTGTTGATGTTTCCACGAGAATTCAAACCGCCTATACTTTACGCAAGTCATCTCACCACGATCGCAATCTTTCTTCGATCGGGAAGAGTTCCTATTCTAGATTAAGTTCGTCATAGTGAAAGCCTCGGGGCATGATGTTTTTATCAAAAACATGAATAAACAACAATGGGTTTTTGCAAAATGCAACTGTGAATTATAATAATGTTCGCTGCTATTACTCTTCATATTGTTGCTATGGTATAAAGCAAAATCAATCCACAGCATTAAACCTGATTAATGTTTGTTTTTATTGGGAACATGCAGCATACTACCCCAGCTAACTAAAAAAACCAATGAATCTTGAGTGGCCCGACCCCAGTTTTTGCCGTTTTTTCTTATTCAATCATGCGGAAAGAAATTTTACAAAAATGTCTGCGTCACAATAGAAATGCATTTCGAAATTAAAATCTTGGGATTATGCTTTCACATACATAAATCATACATACACGGTTGGTTACAATCACTAATATTTCGTGGCCATAACTAATTTCCGTGATGATTCAACTCGCTGAATAAACACTCATCATCCATAATCAGATAATATCTCGATTTTATCTCACTAACTAAAGAACAGTAAAACCATTGTTGGATCTTCCATCATCGAAATTGTAGTCTGTATGTAATCCAACAAACCGAGCAAAATGTTTATTTCTACGTTGAGCTATAATATAACGAAACATTTGCGTCAATGCATTTGGGAACAACAACTTTTGACATATATTTTATAATATCGCTTTGTTTTAACAACATTCTAAAAACATCTGGTTAAAATGGAAATAAATACCAGACAACAGTTAAATATATACCAACTAACTAAATATAATATTAAATAGGAATTTTGCATCGAAAGTGGAAACATATATAATTAATTATCATTGAAAATTTATATATAAAATTTTAATGAAATTGCTCATTTAATATTGATATGTACGTATATAAAACCCTTGTTTCATTCTTTGCAGTACATAAAAATCCAGCAATTACAAGAGATACAATATCATATAATTGCAACCTATTATATCTACGTGATTACGTTGTGTTTTACTGTGCGTTTGTCAATGAAAACTTTCAATAACTGATAAAATATTCTTTCATCCTAAAACACATGCTCCTATTTAAAAAAATGCTCTTCTTGTTTGGCCGGCTACTTAAATCGTCCATAAATTCTGCTTTTATTTTATTTTGATCATTTATTGAAAAGGATTATTTTTGTGAAAACATATACAAGATCATAAACGCAAAAAGCTTCATATGTTTATTGCCTATGCCCTATGCGTTCGAAAGTGTAGGTCTGAACAAGGCACAGTTGCTTTCCAATAAAAATCTGCAGACTTCTCTAATCTCTGTGATCAAATCGTCAAACTAAACTTTTCAATCGGACTGAAGGCTTAATATAATCCGCAGTAAGCGATTAAACTTATATGTTATGGTACCATGATGCGATTGAAGATTTTCTACAGACCTCTTTCATTCGTTAACCGATGTATAATCGCTAAGCCTCAACGTGTCAAAATATTTTTGGGATCAATCCAACTTTTTACTGTATCGGTGAAAATGGTCGAGTATAGGATAAGAATGAAGCTAAAGTATATTGACACGAAGGTCAATTAACTACATCAAGAAGACTAACTTGATTGACAAATATTGTATAAGCGAGACATTTATTTAGGTACTTACCATGAAAATAAATAATAAATGCCTAATTTAGAAGAAATACTGACTTATATTTTCACCCAAGGTTAGGAAGTAGTCAAATTTATTCGATTTGGCGGCAGAATGGGGGTGAACCGCCTACGTGTCTTTTTGTTCTCACAATCGTCTTTTCCAATATATATGCTTTTTTGCATTGCTCTTCTTAAATTCTATATACCTTGGCAAATGAGGCTTATATATATACTTGACACATGCACATCAATACAGGTAACTGGTAAATCGTAGGGAAGGAGTTACGCCTGACAGAATAAAAAATATTCAGATGAAATAATAAAAACAGCAAAATGGAGGTAGAATATCGGGTCCTATAACACCCAGAGTTGATTTGAAAATAAAAGTGTAATAGCCTTGTGGCGACATCTTCCATCTTTAAGTAATAAAAATGCAAAATCGGATCGTCCATAATTTACTGAGAAAAGCAATTTTTCGTCGCCAAATAAATGGTTCCCCACCAACAAGACTCGCATGGAAATTAATAATAAACAGATGTTTTATTTCATTCATCAACATTCTCATATCGATAAAATTGCAACAGCCCATAGTTTTTGAAGAGACAAACTACATTCTGCATCCTGTTAACAGATGTCGTATCGAATGCTGAGATGAAGGTTAGACAATTGGCGGTATTAGGAGTGCTATCCACCATACCGGACTGCATAAAATTTCTGCGAGACAACCGCTTATTAGCATATGCATTGTTGAAAGTACAAAAGCGTTATAACTGACGAGATTACGAAAACAAATCAATTAGATGCTGTGAGATGGCGTTGCAGGCAAAATGACTGTAGAAATATTGCAACCATTCGAAAGAAATCATTTTTCGAAAGGAATAAAATTGATTTAGTGAATCTGATAATATTAATTTACTGTTCGGCTATAGACATACCGATGTAAGCCCGCGCATTGTATTCAATTGGCTACATTTTTTGCGTGAAATATGTTCGACCGAATTGATGAGAGACTTTACCGGATCGGGGGACCGCGTTTGGCTGGGGCCATAGATGAAACGATTATAGCCCAAGCGAGACCAATTAAGGAAATTTGGTTATTTGGAGGAATATGTAGACGACAAAGCAAATATTCATTAAACTATTGCCTAAATTAGGTAGAATAAAAGCCACATCGGAAGATTTGATAAAGTCAAATATTGAGTCCGGTTACAGAAATATGAAGTAATTGTTTTGCATCCTATCGTGATATAAAAAACAACTGGGTCACTAGGGTATAAACATCGTACGGTAAATCATGGCAAAATGTACGTTACGATGAAGGAATTCATACCAATGAAGTTACAAACAATTGGCCAAGTGTCGAAGAAAAGTTTAAGCGAATGCATGGGGTAATAAGGGCAATGATTGACTCTTACGAAAGTATCCTTACCATACGCTTTTCGTGAAGATATTAGAAAAATCACATAAGTTAAAATGTATTTTTAACAACCCCTTTGCAGTGGGGGACAACTACCGATCTAAACACAATTAGAAACATGATCGGGCTCCAATGCACCATTATACCCGTTGGTAATCCGAAAAAATAATGTTTATGTCTGGAATGCCTACAAATTTCTCAGGAGTATTAAATGCGACCAATGATAAAACAGTGATAGTTGACAATTAGGAGCCTGATGAGAAAAGGAAGGCGATGGAAGCTCCGACGATGATGTCTGGTTTGGGCGAGGAAGGAGGAATAAACGATGTTTTATTAAAGCGGAAAATTGGATCATCCTACTTCAGCAGTGATGACGGAGTGGAAGGAGAGAGTTTGGTTTGAAAATGATTTAACAAGAACCAAATGCACAAGGCGAAGTGACACAAGAACAATGTGCCGCGAATGAGAGCGAGCTTCCAGGGTCGGGCAAAGGGGCAATGTAATCTATCGCGCTAGGAGTTGTTTATCTTGTCTAATATTGGGTTTACTATCTGCGGTTAGGATAAACGATTCGGATTGAAGTTATTAATCGGGTTTAAAATCAAGGGTTTATACTGGAGTTGTAATATAATGTAGGGATACAGGTTAGCGTTGTTTTATAGTCCAAATAGAACGACAACTGCTGTTCTTTCTTCTTAAGTCAAATAATTTAAGTTGTCATTACTTTGGTTATAATTTGTTGAATTGAGTTGCCTGGAGATCCTAAACATTCGGTATGTAAATATTGTTCTATCTTGTATGATTTATTCTGTATTTTAGTATTGTGAATACTATTTTACCCTATGTGATTTAATCTGTACATAATTGTGACATATGGTTATCTGCTAATGGATGTGAATTGTTATTGCTTGTACAATGGTAGTGCTGTTATATTTGATTAATTGTGCCATATAAGCTATCTAGTTTTATCTATTATTTTGGCAGAAAACCGTCCCTTTACATTCCATTAACAACGTTCCTTTTCTCGTACCCAGCAAGTTCTATTTTCCTGATTCATGTTCGAGATTTGATTTGAAGTGTCTGTTGATTGTTATTAAAGATATTCAACGATTTCAAGTTGAATTATATTGGGGAAGCACTTGAAAGGCACAGAAGAATCTGGGAGCACTTTAACCGCTGTTTACAGACTTTAATTGCTTGAAAGCACGGACTAGTTGCAACAATTAACCGATATAAGTTTGGGGTCGGGACTGCGTTATTGGAACGCGTTTTTGAAGTCTCCAATCTGCGTGAAAAATAACCAGGCTACATAGAATCGAACGAATTCCGTAATAGTGCTACAGAAAAATTTATTACTGGGGAGCAAAGGCAGATATCAACAAAGGTCTTCTAATCTGCCGATACTTCTACTACACATTATATCCCTGTCGAAACAATATCAGCCGATTACGAGTCTGGTTCAGGATTGGAATCCAGCACACACGGAATGAAAAGAATGACAACGATGGCTTCGTTAGTTGCATCTTCCGCTTGTATGTGTACTTGTATCTTCTACGTATGTGCCGCAGACAGAAGAACGAAAAAAAACAATATTTTTATCTACTTTTGATGTCATTTTACCGACTATGCATGATAGTTTTGATGACGACAAAGCAATAATTGATTTAGTGTATACTGAACTCCATACTAGTGCTACAGGTAAGCTACTACGGTGGAACACATGAAGTTATCGATTCCAACCACCTATTTATCGATACTTTACCGAGCACGGGTCGAGTTCAGGATTGGAATCGAGTACACATGAACAGCAAATGATGACAACGATAGCTCCGTTAATTGTATCTTCTACGGATACGAAGACTTTATTTAATACCTTTGTGCCACATACAGGACAACATAGGAAAACAACATTTTTAGCTACTCCCAATGTTTGTTGACTACGACTGCAATTTTCAGCCATAAACCATCGACCGCTGAATCAGCATCAGATTCCACAACAGCGGAGTATGAAAGAATCAATCAAGATAAAAGTAGTTCTCAGATATTGGACACTCGTACCGTTCCGGAGTTTGAAGCTTCTTTTTTGTCTACTGATGAACGTTTGAAAACACAGACACAATCAACAATATTGGTCACAGCTTCTGACTACGCTGTTAGTTCACAAGTTTTGCACCAAAAATGTACCGTACTTCCGTATCATTAATTGGCGCTTGTCACTTTTAGTGGAATTGAAACAGGTAGTTCAGATTATACAGCGCTAAGGAATACAGAGACTGCTGATATTCCTACACATACTACAGACAAATCTATGACCATAATTTATACAAACACATCTCCTCAAAAAGAAATTCAGACGAAATTAGAATTTGAAAAAATCAACTGATCCAGGATCAGCCTCCGTTCCTCCGGTGTCACAAAGTTTTACTCCAACTAAGTTGCCTCTAACCACGATTGATAAATTACTTTCATCAACTAATATGTTAGATATTTCTGCTTCAAAAGAATAAAAAGTGATTCTTTCTTATCTAGTTTGATGCCGACATACACAGTAGCTACATAATTAAATTTACCATGTGACAAGGCACCATTTCCGCAAACATCAAAGCGGTATTTGTCATCTACCGTTTCTGAACAGGAACTCGTGAAGTCGTTCTATCTTGAGTCCACATTTAAACTTGATGCGAAAGTGCCTAAAGACAAACCCGCTAAAACTACAGACATCAAAGCAAAATACACATATACATTCAAACTTGGTACCCCTGATAATTCGACAAATATCGTTTACGATCCAGCAAGTTCATTTATGCCTGAAAATTTTCCTCTTTATCAACAAAAAAAAACAAAAATTTACCCAACAGCGCGTGGTATTACAATGGAATCTAATTTTTAACGAAGTTTTAGCCTCTGACAACGACAGATTATCTTTTCTTTACGACATTTGATCTGAAACCAAATGAAACAACCACATAATTTTCAAACAATATAACAAGCACACAAGGCAGCACTCCGGAAAATTTTTCAATTCTTTCAAATCAAAAAAATCGTTTTTGTTTTCATTAACTACTGGACCAATGTCTTTAAAATATTCAGTGGTTTATCATTTCAAAAATTTCAGTGGAACCAATGGGATATGTTTTGTGTAAGATGACGTCATCAATAGATATCTGATAAACGACTGAATCTAACAAGTTAGCCCACAGATACAAGATATAGTTAGTCCACAACTACGCATAAAAAAATAAAATTGAATACAAAAAGAGAATAGGAAAATTTAAAAAAAAATTGAAAATCATTAATATTTAGCAAAATTTGGTTATGGTGAAAACAGTTTTTCCAAAGTTGAACAGCGTAATAACAAATCATTAATAATATATTAAAGCTAGTCTTTTTAGTTTGAGTTATCAATAGCTTTGCGGTGTTTGTAGAATGATGTGTAAAAGATAGTAAAATTTAATATATACCAAACGTTTCGGCTGTTCACTTCCTAGACTTTGTACAAGAAAAGTCTCTGAAATCCTTAATATTGCCTGCAGCCTCATCAAACTCTTGTGTATAAATAACGCATCCCAATATATCAAATCACATACGTTTGAAATACCAAAGACATCATACTCACTTAGCATGCTTCTTATATATGAGCGTAACTCGATTTTTAAACCGTTTTGTGTGAAATTCGCACAAACAACTGTTTGGCGGGAACTAGTGAAACAAAACAAGGCATATTCAATGTTTTCATTGTGAGATATAATATTCCATTAGGAAACAGCTTAATGATTAAAATTTCCCAGAAGTGAAATTTTTCAAAAATTGCTCTGAAGAGAATACCATATCCATAAATAAGGAATATGCAATCATTCACTTGTGCCTATTGGAAGTTGTATTCTGCCATGGCGTGGGGTTGATTTAGTTCAAAACAAGTTTTTGTTTCATTTAAAAAAAAAAAGCAAAACTAAGCTCATAATTTAACACAATTTCAGAAATTGAACTTTTTAATAACAGCAATTTTTCCAACAATATTTCATCACCAAACACGACAGGTATCTTCTTGTTTTGGATACATTTTATCCTTTCCTTTTCTGCATCCAAATGCTTGTCCAAATTTTTCGAAGTTTTTCAATGAACCTTCCGCTCTGTATAAAATTCGACAATTGACTAAGGTTAGTATCATATTACAGTCTTGTTGACACATCTCTAATACGGATATAGAACTAAGAATATAAATCGTAGAAAAACTCATTACGTAACAATGAAAAATTATAGAGTTTATAGTTAGGTTGTAATTGTGAATGCAAATCGAGCCTATAATTAAATGACCGTAAATAAAGAAATAAAAAAATATTGTACCTGAATATACCAGGGCTATGAGGGAAAACAGCTAATCTTCTCTTAGCAAATTCTGGCCTGTCTGACCCGCACCACAACTAGATAAATATAAGAAAAAACGATAGCTTGAATTCTTTAGTTACCGCGTTTTAATTAAACAACAAAATATATACAGCAAGGGTGCGAAATGTTTTTTTAATTTTTTTATAAATTTAAATTAGTTAGTTTTTCTGCAACTTTTTACATCGAGTGAAAAAAAAAAAAGTAAATTTTTAAGACTTGTAATATAAATATCACATATAATAACTTCAAACTAATTATTTGGTCATACCAAGTTCACGGAACGAGGAAATCCCTGTAGTATCATCAACAAGTTTAACAATGGGGAATGCAGTAAGCTGAAACAAGTTCCTCAATAACAATCATACTTATACTCATACGATACTTGCATAAATGAATGCTCTAATTAACCAAAGTGCCACTGAATGGAACAAAGTATCATTTTGGACAGTCAAATCTGAAGTCAAAAGTCAATTCTACCTGAGCGTTAGCAATAAAAAACAACTGTTCGTGAGTGTAACCTTCCAGTCCTGGCAGCTGAAATTCTCTACCTGGATTTTTGATCTTCCATAATTGATAACCCTGAAAATGTTATGATCGATAGTATTTTGCATAAAAATTACATGTACATCGCGTGGAGAAGGAAGCCTATACGGCTTCTCGTACGGTTATATCACTCCCTGTCGGGTATGGGATTAGATCGCCATTTATAATTTAATTAAGATGCATGGATGTGATGATGGAGGAAGCAGTAGCTGACCAGCGTTTACGTTAACCACGCTACGACGGCGAGGAGTCCAGCAATCCTCTCACCAACAATTATCCTACACTGGATTTGATCCACACAGTGTAATCAGGGATGCGGTGACGAAGATATACCTCACGATTAGCCCGATGCGCCACTCCAACGATCCCAATAATATGCGGTATATGTATTTATTAATTTCATTAAAAGCTAAGTATTTAAATTCACAGAATTAAATAAAATCTAGATTAAATGTAAAGTCTTTTAGTTTTTTGAAGTACTGTGAGATTCCTCCGGTAGCTCTAACTGCTTGTCTGGTGATTCCCGTTCATATGAATTCGATTTTTTATTTACTATGGGCGTTTACTTGGGGAAACAAAACTGCTTACTTCGGACAAGTTCTAGGATACCCATCGCTCAGCGGCAAATATTATTTTAGGCTTGTGTTTTCATAGACTGGTCAAAAATTCCTTCTTGTACCAAAACAAAACCGAAGTCAAACACGATGAAAACTGAGAAATGTTTTCTGATTCACGAATATTCAAAAGTGAAAATGACTGTAAGCTTAAATATCCAGTGGTTGTCCGAGTAGTAACCACTGTGCTCATAAGCAAATCGACTCACTTGATATGCTAATCTTATTCCTCCATTATCTGCGATGTTCTCGCCAATCGTGAGGTTACCATTAACCTGTGGAATCAAAATGAATGCGCTGATTAGAAAAATTAATTTCATTTATTCAATTTATTTGAATTTTGCGCGTGTTCGAATACATGGCTTTTCTAACCATTTGAAGTTTTGAGTGTGCGTTCTTACAGAGTATTATCACATTTAAATGTTTAGTAAACAAACAAAAAAAATTGTTTTCAAAACGTGAATCCCAAACGATTTTGCTTCAAAGAAAAACTCCAATGGATTGTTAAAAATATAGCTTCAACCAGATACCATATCGTAAATTGTTGTCACATCTAACATATACGAGTACAACGTTTCTCAACTCCTCCACGGGGTTGAATTTTGGAGAGCGGGGAATGAGTTTGCTTTGTATTAGCCGGTGTATTAGTATTACTCATATTCTTTAGTTTTTCATCATTACTAAAATATATACTTATTCATAAACATATAATAAACTACTTGAACTGTACAAAAACGCGAGTGCGTAACATATTGATGAGGATCCATTAGAGCAGTGGTTCTTAACCTGGGTTCGGTGGAACTGTTCCAGGGGTTCGACGAAGGTCCTCTGAAACAGTTGCATATTATGAGACTCTTTTATCGTCTCGCCTACTAATTAGGCATAAATACCTATAGTTCACCACAGATATTCAAACGTACACGTTCAACAACTAATAAATTAGCACTGCTGTGTGTAAAGCTTTGCGCAGATATAAGTTTCAGTGGATCTGTTGGTCTTACCCCTTAGATTCCAGTAAATTTTATCGAAAACTCGAATTTTCACAGATGTCGTATGCTTGGGTCTGTGTACATATCTAAGATATCTATAATATGGCTTCCAAATATCTTAGGTTGTTATGACAAATCAATGAGTTTCGAGCTGAATATTCGCGTCACCCTCATTCATATTCTACCATATATACTAATAAAATCGAAGATAGGCATTAATTGTAAATGAATGATGCAAAATCAGAGCGTGTTCGTAGGTGATGAATATGCGACAGAGAATAATTCATTGCAGAGCTTTGCCCGAAATTATCATGATCCATTCAAGACAACCTCGATGTGACGCGAGTCATATCCTATCTCATTTCTGTAAAATAAAACAATCGACAAACGCATTTCAGCGCAGTTTGAGAACAAATGACTTGAACTATCAACGTTTATGACGCATATCATCATCTTTCGGATTTTCTAAATTGTCATTTGTTTTATCAGATTTTCGCCTTTTCATCCGCATAATTTATAAAACAACAAAAACATCTGCTTTTCCTGCCGCCGACACTATTGTGACAAAAAATGGCTATTCCCACATGATTATTGAATTTTAAAGTTACATCACAAAGTTCATTTTCTATGACCGTGCACAAAACTAGCTTCCCCTTTATAAAATTAGGATCGGGCTTCTAATTTCAACTGTTCAGTACGATGGGGTTCGACGGGCACTTTCGGTATAGCGCAGGGGTTCGGTAGGCTCACAAAAGTTAAGAACCACTGCATTGGAGATTGGAAAAATAAAGTAGTGTTATGCGTAGGGAGAGAGGACCAATGAGTTCCAAAATAGGCAAAAGAAGGTATGTCATAGCAAGATTGGAAACCACTGATGTAATATCTCAGTACTTACAAACATTTCGGCTGGTTCATAGTAAAATTTTCCGTATTGCTTCCTGAAACAGGATGCTCTTTGTTCAAAGTTTTTTCTAGAAGAATTTGTCCACCAAATTTCAAGATTACCCAATGCGTTGTATCTTGAACCAGCTGTATCAAATCCATGAGTTAACTGAAATTGAACAAAAATGATTGATAATATGTAATTAATATAATAATTAATAATAATATGCCGATATATCAAAATATTGGTCACAACAATGGAATTCCACCAATGAAAATTATAAAGTTGAGCGTCGATAGAGTAATATAATATACATTACAGTTTACTATGAAATGATATACTTTCATTAAATTGAATAAAAAATAGCACTGTTGTGATATTTTTGTGACCGTTATGAAACATATATGGTCAATAATATTACCAAAGTTTACCTCATGTCCCATTGCATCACCAACACCTGCGAAATTCATTGCGAATGGCTGTCCTGGATCAAAAAACGGGACTTGTAAAATGGCTGCAGGAAAAGTCATTCGGTTGAAATTTGTATTGTAAAAAGCATTCACTTGGCCTGGACCCATTCCCCATCTAAAACATTCTGATTATTTACTGTCTATCTACAGATTTATGTTGCATGACAGTAACGAAATGCATTTTCTCGGAAATTATTGTCTTCAAATATTAATAATTAACGAATACAAAAAAAAATAGTGGAGCAGTAATTGGTACTGGTTAGTTAATACATAATTTTGTTTGATATGTAAAAATCGAGATTTGCCTCATTTGCCATATTCATGTAATATGAACGTCATAGGTACACTTCTACGTAGTTACATCTGTAACGCATTATTCCTTTTGAATACCAAACGAATAAACAGTAACTGTAGGCTACACTGTAATGTTTTCATACTTCTACATTCGACAGTGGTTCACAACCAGTAGTGGGGTTTAGCCGGTTCGCACCGGTTCTATAGAACCGTCTCACGAAATTTCATGAGATCAGCGAACCGGTTAGCATTACATGACTTTTTGTAACTGAAGCGCCTGAAAAATATGACATTTGTGTGATGGAACCGGCTGACAAAATTTGAATCCCACCACTGTTCACAACCGTATAATAATTTGAATTGTTTAATAAAACGAACTGTCGATAAACAATACTGTAGAAATCTTATTTTCCACTCACTTTTGTCTATCTACAGGTTGATTTAATTTCGCCAAAGATTGATCCAAATCAAAATTATACAAATTTTGCTCTGATTCAAAATATTTTTTCTCTGATACAAACAGATCCTTGTATTCGTCGTCTAATCGAGAATTGTCTTCGTCAACAATGTATTCAGGGTAACCAATCAGTTTGGCAACTTGATCCACTTTATTCTATACATGGTAATGAACGAAATTAAATATAACTGAGTATAAACACCAAGAATCAAAAATTTTTGAAATATAGAATCAAGTAGAACTTTTACAGCAAATCAAATGGTATATTAAACCAGACGTTCACAATTTTAAATATTCAACGCGACAGACGTTTTACAATTTAAATGAGGTCCGTGTGTATATTCATTCATACGAGTTATTCATAATGACGTTTCAGATTTCTCGATTAGGAATTTACAAAGATTTTAAACATTTAATAAATATTAAAGACAACTGAATACAAATATACACATAGTTTGCAAATTTTGTGCTGACACGAGGGATAAATTATTAACTGCATGTGATAAAATTTAATGTTTTATATTAAAATCACACATATCGCTGAAAACAATTTTACTGCGGTCCACAAAACATTGACTAACTTGGAGAAGTTGATAAAAAAAAATAAAATAGAACATAGAACAACATTTATTGAACAATGGGATTTAGTGCTCAATTCATCCAGATCTCAATATGTTAAAGAACACGATCTTGTCAGATCCATATAATGCAAGTTTCTAATTTCAAATGCTTTACATAGCAGTAAAGTATCACTAGAAATAATATCTTCAAATTGAAATCTAAACTTACCAAAGCGAACTTTTTGGTACTTTCATCCATCCATGTAATTTTGTATAAATCGTCTTTAAACGCATCAATAACATCTTCTGTCATTTCAACTACCTACGAGTAAAGGTAATGTGCTATAAGATAAGATAACTCTATATTGTGAGAACTTATAAACAAGGTCTAATTGCTACATCTTAATTCAATTTAAATTGATTTTACACACAAGTTCAAAAAATGTTATAATGGACGCAAATTTGAATCAATGGATCAATTTTCTTCTATTGAATATTAATTAAATTTTGAATGAAAACGCAATCTCTTCATGCTTCAAATTATCTTAAATTTTATTGTGTTAATATCGTCAAGCTGAAACACAATTAAACGTTTATTCTTACGGTATCTTTGTTTTCCTCAGAGAACAAGGCTTTGACGTAGATTGCTCCAACCGGCAATGGTAATAACATGTTTGCAGATGATATGCAATCTTGCCATTTTGGCTTCTCTTCTGCTGTCCCTAAATTAGCTTTGCTAAAAAAGAAATCAAACGAAAATATTTGAAAACTAAAAAGACGTTGAGCCGTAAAACTGTCATAAAAATACCAAATAATTCTTTGTTATAAAAGTTATTTTTTCTTCATAATTAGCTAATTAGAAAGATTCGTACAATTACTGAATGATTATTTTTAGAAAATGAAAATTGAATCAATAGAATCAATTAAACTTTTCTAAATGTCCTAATAAAAAATAAATAACTATAATGTTCAAAACCATTAAAATATAACGATATTTGGTTCCGACTTTTCGGATTGCAGTTTTATATTTTAGAGAACGCTAAATATTAACAAGACAGTTAAACACGTTACAAACTGTGATATATTATGACTTACCTTCTCTACTTAATTATCAATACACGAGACCTGATCCATAAGACAGTAATTCAAATCTTTACCTTTTGTTGTACTTCTTTAAAACCGACATAAGTTTGCTTAAATAGGGAATTCCATAAACAACAACTTCAGTTTTAGGGTTGGCTTTGATGTCAACTCGTTTCATAATTTGGTTTGTGAATTTCAACCAATCAAAGTCTGCCGATATTTTAATCGGCATTTCTAAAATAGTCAAATACAGAAAATTATTCATATTTAATGCCTCTATTGCTCACCTGTTACAGTGAGATAGAATGAAAGAAGCAAAGAAAAAAGAAAGGAATATGAATCCTTCAAAACCTTATTTTGAAATAACTTAAACTTGATAAGATTTAATAGGAGGAACCACTAAAAGTAAGTTTTGTTGAGATGCTAAAAAAAATGTTATAAGTTTGAGTTAATAAGATTTGATTAATATAGCATGTTTTTCTAAATATCAACATTTTAAATTGACGTACGTCATAAATTGTATAATTTTCTAAAAAGTATTGTGCAATTTTGCCCCAAAATAAATTTTATCCATGACCATATTAAATTACAACAAACGATTATTCATCGATTGATTGTAAAGTAAGTAGACAGGATTTTATACCAATCTTTTATGTAAAAAGTACAAAAAATAAAATTTAAAGTTAAAGATTAATAATAAAGTACACATGTTCAAAGATGTATTTACCTTCGAATTTCATCTTATTGTAGATGTTCAGGATATCGATACGAGCGCTCATGGGTTCAACTATCTTTGCCAAGTCTGTTTCAAGTTGAATAATCTAAATAGTTGTAAAAATCTACATATATAGATATATTGTGAATTTTCTAATCGATGTTATTTAAAAATATGTCTTGATCATTCAAGACTTTAGTACTAAAGATTATGGAAATTATTTCATTTTCTATTAAGTCTTCGCAACACGTGTCAGCAATCATACTGAAATATCAATGCGAGTATGGAAACACTACAGTATTATCGTGTCAAGTTAAACATCACACATTCATTCCTCGAGCCGCGATGGTGTAGATATTGAATTTGAGAGACAAAACATAAATTACAAGATGGTAAATACTATTTATTGTAGGAAAAATTTGTAAATTCAAACATGTGCTTTTTTTCAAATGGCATTATTAAATCATAAATAATTATCAAGTATTTTATTGTCAACTTACGACGTCTACTCCTTTTCCTAGTTCAGTTTCATTATATTTACCGAATTCATTTACCTGAATAAACATAAAAAAGTTATATTTCTTACAATGCAAACGATGTTATAAGTAAACTATTATTGTAATCATTGTACAAACCAGATTATGAAGACATATTAAAAATATAAAATAATAAGCAGCGTTAGTGATAGTTTTACCATATTTCCACTCTTCCATAATTCTGCTAGATAGTCCCGCATATAGGTTTTATATCCTAGTAAAGTAGCATTGGATTCTGAGTTGACGTAAGAATCTGAATTTGTTATTCCCAGAAGAGGTTGATCAAGCTAATAAAGAACAAAATATCAACTGAGAGGTACAAATGAAAAAAATATAGATAACGGGTAAACGCTAAAATTTATACCGAATTGAATTCTTCACATTTATGCTGTAAACCTGAGTTTGAATATCAACTATTATAATTTATTCTTTATGTATGTCTTATTATTTCACTGCAATTGTCAGAGTACCAATGACAGATAACCCATAGATTCCGTGAATATTGCATATGAAAGAATTTTGTGCGTACTATTACATTATATTACTTCGAATTTCAATGGCAGCTCGAAGCGACTCAAAATTTTGCTTTGCAACGTTAACCCAATTCATTGTTGGGGAAACTCGCAGTAAGCCATTTATTTTTTACCCTACGAACATCACATTGTACAAGATTTTTCTTTGCTAATTTGCGACTTGTAGAACAGACAATAATCAATTTGCTAGCAATAGCCCCAACGTACCGTGATAACATATGAACTTGAATTTCGATCGTCTGTTTTTACGTCCATGTTAATTAACGGTGATGAAATAGCAAAGAAAGAGTCATATAGTCTGTTTTTTGCTCTAGCTAGCAGCATTTCCAAGCTGAAAGATTCTACATCGAATTCATCTCCGAACAAAGGCAAACCTCCGTAATTTTTAATCAAATTCAAAGCTGGTTGAGCACCTAACTTCTCAACAATATCTGTTTTACAAAAATATTTGAGTTCAAGAATCAAATTTATTTCATTGATGACCACATTCTTATTCATTCATTCAATATTACCTTGATCTACACACGCTTTGTAAAATGTTTTTGCCTTCTTAATTGCATCTCTATCGTTGGATGAATCAGTACTTAAAAGTTCTGCAAAAAAGTTTTGTGAATTCAATAGACTACATTATTATCCTACTCAATAAGGCGGGTTCACTGGGATGTTGTACGCTGTATCCTCTTTCTATCGTTGAAACAAACAACTCACCTCGAAGGTGCTTTTGAGTTCTTTCCGCTGTAAAACTGAACTGATTAATTGTTGGCTTGTCCTCCGGAATAGGATTATTTTTCAACCATCCAGCGCATGAATACTGATAAAATTTGTTGCATGGATCGTACATCGTGTCCAACGAATTCAAAACTCTTGTAGCTAAAATATATATTCAAGCTTTCTAAGTTTTGACAGAATGAGGATATATATATAATAGGGATTGCGTTGCACATCGCATCAGCAATACAAACAACATGATAGAAGTTGTAGAAAATTAGTTTATTTATTTCAAAAAGTACAAGCATATATATGCTAGAATGGTAATGTCATGCTGGCATATAGTATTCGTTAATCCACTGGTATTTCATATTCAGGTATGCAATACAAATTTGTTCATTTGGTGCCTGATACTCATTTATATGAACGAACTGGGATCAAAATTGAAACAATCATATTCCATGAGTAACAGTAATCTCCCTCCCCTTTTTTGGTTTGCTATATAATTGCTATAGTGTTATCCGAAAACAAAAACAAACTTACCTGCATTTATACATGCCTTTGTTTTACACAGCGCTAAAATATAATTAAAGAGAATTATTATTTCACGTGCGGCATACATTTGCGTTTGAATATTTAGTCAGTGTATCAAACTTGCTTTTTGAATGTAAATGACAACTAATTTGATAAGTGAAGTAAGAACCAATATCAAAATATGTATCGGAATTCTGGTACAATGATAAAGGGATAAAAGTAGCGGCGAGTGATCGTTTGGATTGAATTCGGGATGTGATTTAAAGTTCACCAAATAAGATCTCCATATAAGAACATACTCTTCGGTTTGCTTGATATCCTGATAAATAATGCATAGCGTATTGTCACTATAACTAATTAATTTGAATGCAGTATTACATAATAATCGTTCTGCCTACCCCCGCTTTCGTTCTCCATTGACATGAAGTACGCCAGAATAGTCGTGAGTACAAGGGCAACAACCGTGGCAGCCACCACTGATGTTTTACCGTTTCCCATTCTTGTATTTAGCTATATCTATAGAATAGTAAAACATGAAAGAAACAGTTAATATTATAAACATATTTAATAGATTCGAGGGTGTGGTAAAAGTTTATTAGTTCATACTTTTGAAAAAATGTGATAAAAACATCGTTTTTTATCAAGCTAAATAAATAAATACTTTTGTAGGATTTTCTTCCTAACTTACTTTGATATTCTTATGATCACAATGCGGTATATCGTATATGCACTTTCAGTTTTCAATGTAATTGAACATATTTTAAGTTTCTGACAACTTTATTTTGCGCATCAACAAAGGCACGTAACTGTCCAACTGAACAACTGCTTCGTTTTCGTATATCTGATGAACGAATAAAATTTTAGTATAAACTATTTCATATTGGTTGTATTTTACCGATATTTTTGTCATACGTTATGTTAACGTGTAAAATTTGTTGCACAATATGTATGCTCGATTTGGTATAATAAAATAAAGTCATTTCATTCTGGAAAATAGCAGCATTTCCGTTTTTCAAATGTAATATTTATATTCAGAGCTACAATAAAATGTCCTATCTTTGAATGCGATCAAGTCAGCAGTATAAACATGTGAATAGTACATATATAGATGAAAATTCTGTGATATCTTTCATTTACCAATAAAAAGATGGAGAAAAAGATTAAATGGGCTCTTCTGAGCAAGCGCCCAATCACCAGTAATGTTAATGGGTAACCGTGTAAGAATTCGTTTAGGACTTGTGAGCTCCCTATTCATATCTGGAAAATCAACTTATTCATCTCATCGTCTCTCTAGAAATATATAGACTAAAAAATCGACCCTATATCTAATTCTGCGTTGAAAATAAACCCGAATTCAAATACATCTAAAATTATATGAATTTGATACATTTTCTAGTTAAATTTATCAATGTATTCTCAAATTTTCAACTTGAATAAATTAGCATATGCTCTGAAAGTGTTGTTTCAATTTCCTAACACACATGTATAACGAGATAATTGATGTATCCACAAGAATTCAAACCGCCTATACTTAACGTAGGTCGCCTCACCACGATCGCAATCTTTCTTCGATCGAGAAGTGTTCCTAGTGAAAGCCTCAGGGCACGATGTTGTTACCAAAACATGCATAAACAACAATGGGTTTTTGCAAAATGCAACTGTGAATCACAATATTATCCGCTGCTATTATTCTTCATATTGTTGCTATGGTAATGCTAAGACTATAAAGCAAAGCAATCCACAGAATTAAACCTTATAAATGTTTATTTATATTGGGATCATGTAGCATACTACCCAACCTGACTATTAAAACCAATGAATTCTGAGTGGCCCGACCCCAGTTTTCACCGCTTCATCTTATTCAATCATGCGGAGAGACATTTTACAGAAATGTTTGCGTCACGAGACTCACGACAGAAATGCATTTCTGAATTTTAAATCCTGTTATTATGCGTTCACATGCATAAATCATACATACACTGTTGGTAACGACCACTGATATTTCGCGGCCATAACAAATTTCCTTGATGATTCAAATATCCAACTCGCTGATTAAACACTCATCATCCATCATCAGGCACTATCTCTTTTTATCTCACTAACTAGACAACAGTAAAGCCATTGTCAAGTCTTCCATCATCGAAATTGTAGTCTGTATATAATCCAACCAACCGAGCAAAATGTTAAGCGAACTTCTACGCTAAGCTTATTATAATATGCCGCAACATTTGCGTCAATCCATTTGGGAACAACAACTTTTGACATATACTTTATAATATCGCTTTGTTTTAACAACCTGGTTAAAATTGAAATAAATACCCAGACAACAGGTAATAACTATATACCAACTAACGAAATTTATTACAGAAAATTTGCAGCGAAAGAGGAAACATATATATTTAATTATCATTGGAAATTTTTATACAAAATTATAATGAAATTGATCATTTAATATTCATCTGTACCTATAAGCCCTTTGTTTCATTGTGTTGCAGAGTACATAAAAATCCAGCATGTTGTGCTGAGATACAATAGCATATAATTGCAACTTATTATTTCTACTTTGTGTGTTGCTGTTCGGTTTTGTCAATGAAAGCTTTCAATAACTGTTAAAATATTCTTTCACCCTAAAACACATTCTCATATAAAATAAAATGTACGACACTGTGGCTTTCCTTGATTGGGTGGCTACTCTAAATTGTTGATAAATTTAGCTTTTAGTCCCATTTGAGCATGTATTGAAATGGATTATACAAAACTTATACAAGATCATAAACGCAAAAAGCTTCTAAGTATGTTGCCTATGCGTTTGAAAGTGTAGGTCTAAACAAGGCACAGTTGCTTTTCAATAAAATGCGAAACTGCAGCGTGACTCCTCTAATCTCTGTAATTAAATCGCCAAACTAAATTTTTTAATCGGGCTGAAGGCTCAATATAATCCGCATTAAATGATTAAACTTATATGTTATGGTACCATGATGCGATTAAAGATTTTCTACAAACCTCTTCCATTCATAAACCGATGTATAATCGCTAAACCTCAACGTGGTAAAATATTTTTGGGATCAACTTTTCACTGTATCGATGAAAAATGGTCGAGAAAAGGATAAGAATGAAGCTCAAATATATGGACACGAATGTCAATTAACTACGTCAGATGAATACCTTGATTAACAAATATTTTTTGTCTGTTTCATATGCCTAAATATCTGGATAATCGTGGAATCAGAGGAGAGTACATGTAATTAAATTATCCTACGACGTCACAATTACTCAGCGAGACATTCATTCAGGTACTTACCATATTTGTTCTTTCAATAGCAATAGAAATGAATAAAATATGCCGCAATTTAGAAGAAATACTTACTTGAAAATTTTACCCAAGGTTAGGAAGCAGTCAAAGTTATTCTATTTGGCGGCAGTATGGAACTAAACCGCCTACGTGGAACTCTCTTTCTTTTTTGTTCGTCATTCGTCCTTCCCATGCAATATATATGGGTCTTTGCATTGCTGTTTTTATATTTTATAAACTTTGGCAAATGAGGCTGATAGAACTTGACGCATACACATCTATACAGGTAACTTGTTAAGGCGTAAGGAAGTAGTCTCGCTTGGCGGAATAAAAATATACACATGAATCACCATAATCGGCAAGAACTACATCGAACACACATATGAACCGTCTTTTTATTTCAACAACAGAGTGTAAAACAATACACAGGCTCGTCGATTCGTAAATCTTTAAAACGTGTATAAATGAGATAGCTTTGCTGGATGACACGGCGGATTTTAACCGAGTTCAGCGAGTTGCCTATAAAACTACATATTCGACGAACCTCACGCCAAACGGCGAAAGGTAATTGTTTTCTTTATTTTACGTTACTAGACGTGAAATTTACTTCGATGGTGTGAAAAATATGGTGTTTGTTCACTTATTTCATATTATTATTTCTTACCTTCCACTTCCGTATTTTTCTCATTCCAGAGTTCTTCAAATTACGTAGTGGTGTACAGCTCATTTTAACACAACAACCTTGTATCGAAGAATTTCAAGTTGAAAAAAGCACCTTTTTAGTCAAGAAGTAGAAACGATTTCACGAGGAAGGGAACTAACTAACTACGTCAAGCAAAAGGGTAAGATTACTTGTTGTTTTATCATTCCAGAGTTCTTCAAAATTTCGTAGTTGGGCACAGCTCATTATAACATAACAACCATGTATCGAAGAATTTCAAGTTGAGAAATGCACCTTTTCAGTCAACAAGTAGGAACGATTTCATAGGAAAAGGAACTAAATAACTACGTCAAGCAAAAGGGTAAGATTACTTTCCACTTCCGTATTTTATCGTTCCAGCGTTCTTCAAAATTACGTAGGAATGTACAGCTAGCTCATTGTAACACAACAACCTTGTATCGAAGAATTTCAAGTTGACAAAAACACCTTTTTTAGTCAACAATTAGGAACGATTTCATAGGAAAAGAAACTAACTAACTACGTCAAGCAAAAAGCTAAGATTGCATTGAATCTGCTAACATGTTGTTGTCTTTTCATCTCGGAGCAATGTATGGTAAAGGTCTGTTTTCTATAAAGAATTATAAAAAATAAAGATACAGTAAGAACGAACCAATAATTTACCATTTTTCTAGACTCAATTTATGCATGACTTTAGTATTACAGCATGCACAAAAATTGCAAACCTTTTATTGCGGGGTGGCCCAAACCCAGGACCGCGCCATCATTATCTGTGGCCCACATCGCATTTGGCGGGGGGGTAATAAAAAAATCGCATTTGGTGTCGATTCGTCATAAAAATACCCAGAAAAATTATTTGACCTTTTGTTACATCACTAATGTCACTGAATTGACTAGTGTTGTGGCTAGCTGAGGCAACTAACAAAGTTGAATAATGTACTTGGCTGGTCCAACTTGTTCACTGGTTTTCTATCTTTTTTGGTTTGGAATATATGCTGACAATATAATAACTAAATATGATAACTAAATATTAATATTATGGCCGAACAATATAATTTCTTTCTGTGCTTTTTTTGCAACCAGCCTAAACGATATTACGAAAAAAGCTCATATATTCTATATCAGGTTATTTTGTAAACATGAGTTTGAAAGGAAGGATTTTTTGGTGTTTTTTGCACGTTTTAGCTTGATACCTGCCAAATGATGATCAAAGTGTTTATTTTCTATTGCCCTGTTTATCTATTCTTGGCACTATTGTGGCCCGCGAACAATGCAAATATAATTTTCTGGCCCCCGAAGCGACAACCTTGGATCACCCTGATTTATTTCATTTATAGGAACGGGTCAAGTATATATTGGATCTTTAACTGAAAAATTTGGCAAGGGAATTGAGTAAACAACTAAATCATCATCGCTACCACTGTTTCATTAACCTGCACGCTATACAAAACCAAGTTGCACGGGAAACGATGTCAACATAATCACTATTATTTTGCATATAATTCTTTAGTTCAGTTATAAGCGTCCTTGCCGTGGATAATGGGTTTGGTCGAATAAGCCAGAAGACAGGGTTGTGTCTGTATATATGAGCATAGATCTCTTGTTATTATTCACATCCCAAATGTTGGCGAAATGCCTTTATATAGGATACTGATAGAACAGTGGTTCGGCAGATGAGCTAGTTCCGTGTGATTAGGGAAATTTACTCGAATAGCACCTGTGTAGTGTTAGAGAAGTTGGTATCGAGTATCCACAATCAATTGACAGGTTAAGATGTTTGCACTGCTACAGCTAGGGTGTTATGTCGTACCACATGATTCTCTGGCGCCAAATTAGTAACGCCAATTACTATACATGTATAGTCTCACAAGTCAACGTCTCCGGATGCGTGAGGTGCGGTATTGGTGGTGGTGCATGTGGCGGGGAAGAATATGTCAAAAGAGCATCTGTGTGATATTAATATTACTTGTTATCTACGCTTGAATGAGGAGAGAGATAGCTCGGAGCCGACCGACGTCTCGAAAGTATACCCGCAACGTCAGTTAAGTTTCCTCAGATATAAACAGCATGTGGTACAGTTACTTTATTACGAAATTACAGTCTTATGTTGTGTTAAATGTTTGGGTGTTGTGCACGAATGCCCTTAATGCCGACCAAATGTTGCAAAGAAATTGAAATCGAGAATACGCAAATTGGCGTATCAATCCCACCTCAGTTTTGAAAACACATATTTGCCGATGTGATAATATGGTTTCCCTCCTAATTTTCCAAATAAATCTTGAGCTATATGAGAAAACAAAATAGATCGTACTTTACGGGTCTCTTTTTCAAAATAAATTTTGTGAATGATTTATGGGATATTTTTCTAAGCCTGATAGTCTGACCTAAAATATACAACAAATATTGAGATTTTGTGGGTTGCACATAAATTTTTAATCAGTTCGTAAGAGATAGCATTTTATTGTTGAAAAAAAACATGAATTGAGTTGACGTTGGGTCGATATATTTTAAAACAGTTTAAACATAGAAAGCATTTGAAGATTCCAGTCAGAACATAGTTGCTGTCAAGTGTGAACTATAATTAGACAGTCGCAAGAATATGCAGTTCAGTGCCCAAAATAAAGCTGCACTTTCACATAAATGAGTCTTCGAACGCGTTTTATTGTTTATCCAGGTCGATTTTTTTGCTTTAAAGACAATCCGAAATTGCTTTGGCAAACTTTGGCATTAATTTTGCATTGCATATTGGTCTGAGTTTGGTTTTACTTCCAGTAATATAGTTATTTAAGGGAAATATTTACGTAAACCTTGTGAAACTTGCGAAATCAATCCCCGAGTTCGCTTGTAGTCGAAGTAAGTAAAGCTTGAAGCAGCCTTTCATATTCATGTAAGCAAGTTACATCCAAGCTTTTGTTATGTTATTTTCATTTGTTATTTCAAGGCTCAAACTTGAACGATTATCGCCCTATAATCAAAAGATCAAGATTGATTATTAGATTTGGGGTAGAATTTGTGGCGTTTAATTTCATGAATCCGAAATCGCATCGATTGTGATTGAATTAAAGCAAGCATAAAGTTCCGTTGCAGTGTTGAAATAATTTATATATATAAATCGGTATTTTACGGTGTTGAATTGTTCTATTTACACGAAATTACTATTTATTACATCTGTAAATAAAAGATGGGAGTGGTTTCATAACAGTCAGTGCATTTTGTATGAAAATACGTCCTGACTGACCGAAAGAGAGAAAAACATCAAAGACTTAATATCAGGCTTGTCCATGGGAAACGTCCCAAGGGATGGGATGGGACAGCACGCATTTGTATTTCCCATGGGACACGAAAATCGTATGAGTTTCGGGGAAATGATGGTAAAACATTTCGTTATGGATTTCGTGTCCATATATTTGAGCATATCTCTCTCCTTAGCTATAAAAGACAAAATACATTCAGCATTAACAATATACTTCGTGAAGGGGCTGTATAATAGTTATGAATATAAAGTTAACAAAGTCCGTAAATTTTGTTGTTTTGCATGTCTATTCGTACATGTAGTCCTATTTAGTAGACGTTGAACCTGAATCTAACAATTTTCATTGAATCTGATTCCAATGGGTATCCCATGGGATGGGATGGGACAGGTATAATTGCTATGGGATGGGAATAGGACAGAAAAATATGTCCCATGGACAAGCCTGCTATCTATTCAAGTAACACACACGTCGGGAAAATAATTTTAAAACTTGGTTGTTAACACTATATTTAGATAACACTATAGCAGCTGAGTTGCATGTGAGTTATATGTCAATTATTTGTTCGTCCCCGATATAAATTTCCTTGTTTCTTCTATTATTCATATACCTCAGTTAAAGTCAATATTTACAAACAAAAAATTTCTCTACACACAACAACATTATAATACATGCAAATAACATCGTCAGCACGTATGCAGGCTGGTTTAAATTAAATTACTCTCTGATATAACTATGTTGACGAAGATAACTGACTAAGATCAATATATAAAATACCAATTAAGTTGAGTATACGATTTTGCATGTGCCTTCGTTCTTTTTGAGGTTATTACTTATCGATCTTGATCGGTAATTTCTTATCAATCTTGATTGGTAAGTATGTTGATAGGTATTTGTCTGTTTGTTTGTTTGTCTGTTAGACACTTTCATATGTTATGCGATATCTCACGAATACGAGGTTGAATCTGCTCCAAATTTCGCATGTGCAGTCATCATATCTCGGGCCAGAAGCGAGTTATTAATTATTTAATTTTTTGCAGAAGATCGATAAGTCGGCGGTCTCCGATCGCTATGTCGTCCTATATTATTAGGACGAATGTGTTGTTATGTTGGCAAATGGCAGCTTTGACTTATGAAAGTTCTGATATTTTGTTTCATTTACTTTATTTAACCTTCCTCTCCACGACTTCTGACAATATTGGATTGAATGAAAAAGTTCCGAAGACAAATATTTTCGATTCAAATTTTATACAGGTGTTCTCAAAGCTAAGTCCGACATGAAAGCCAATAGACTTATGATATTATTCTCCCTTGTTCAAACACGTTCGAATGTTGATCACGAAGGGCTCTCGATGCGCGCTGCTAAAACAACAACTTATTGTTCGTATCTGAGTCTGCTTTGAAAGACTCATTTTATTAAAAAAATTCCCGATGAATATATAATATATTTACACGCATGGCCTGTCGTGCGAATCATTTTTGACTCGCACTCGGCAAAGTTAAATTTCAATTTTAACATCCTGGTTTGAATATCAGGTCCTCTCTGGTAAGCGTTTCGTTTTCATCAGTTTATTTTTTAAATAATATCACGTGATGGCTCAGTAGCTAACTCATGTAGTATATGTCTCGCAATATGAGGTCGTCTCGAAGCATATCGAAGTTCCCCGTTCAACCAGGATGTAGTAAATTGAAGTTATT